TAAATCAGGGATCTCGACGCAGGCTAGCTATCGTTGGGGAAGTTAGCGGTTCTAATTACTTTAGGACTGAGAAAAATTAATGATTTAGGACATTTCAAACCTGACCTACGTATATTAATTTTCAATCGCCTTTTCCTAACCGTTGAACTGAACTCAGAGTGAGTCCGACACCGCAGATCGTTTATTTTTTTCTGTCAGCTTTAATTTTCAAATTGAAACTGCGTAACACCAAGAAAATTGTCTAATACAACAGAGTTTATCGTTTATCGAGAAGTACACACCTATGGTGGTTCCTGCTGGGATTTTCGAGTTAGGATCCAGCTTGTCATCCTCAGGCCATTCTATAACCAGTTTACTTGACAACCTGAAAGGACAGTTTTACAGTCTAAAAGTGTAGAGTGGGGCAATTGATCCAACAAGGACAACATAACATAGGCAGAGAATTCATTCTTCTCACCCTTAGCTGGAGCTTAAACGTATCAAAAGAGAAGAGTCGCTTTTAATCTGAGAACTCTCCTGACCTCTCCCTACTAGAGCGTGTTGGACGATCCAAACTCATTTAGACGAACGTAACTAAGCCAGACGTCGAAATTTAAACGTTTGGCCTAGGCCTGCGATTGATAGAAACAACAAGTAACAAAAGGTGTGTTCTCCTTTACCATGGCAGTCAATTTATCAGTTCCTACTATAGTATAAGTCTTCACTTTGTGAGGAGAGGCTAACTTCCGCTGACCTTAAGGTCATGTTTCACACAGCAATTATAAGTCTCGTTTATCCCGTCAAACGGGATGTTTTCGGGAAGGTTTTCGGAAGGGTAATAGCCAATCAGAAAATACCTACCGTATTCGCAAAAGTAGGTGAAGTCACCGGACGGCATTATAACGCTCGGAATTCAGACTTCTCTGCTATCCCCGCGCCCCCACGGGTTAGGGGTGGAGAAGTATAACATTTCAGACTAGTCAATTTACAGCGCCAAAACCATGAAAACCATTTGCTTAAAGTCTGTTAATAATTGCTTTATTCGATTAATTGCTAGAAAGATCAGTATGGTAAAATTATTGTTTTAAAGGTAACTGTTATAAGAATTAAACCATTCGTTAGAGCTAGTTATCAGCTTACTTTGCTTCTTCTTCCTCCACGAACTTTTTAATCGTAGAAAGGCTAAGTGAGCGATCCAGCTTGGCCAGGGAGAAGAATTTTGTGTCTCCATACAAAGAGACTGGCTCCTAGCATAGAAATTTCAACAAGGGACAAGCTTAAACATGTAAATGTCACTGTTATTGGCATTTTAATTGTTGACGGTAAAGGACAACTTTGTGCAGGGTGAAGAGATCTTTCAAACCATACTAGACAAGCACGATTCAGTAAAGAAGACTGGGGAAAAGGCAAAAAACCAGTAAAGCTGACGCGAAAATTGCCATGAAATTCTTCTTCCACTACCCACCTACCTTTCCTTTCATCCTAAAAGCTTTCCCAAAAACTTTTCCCGACAAAATGAATCCTGCTACAGTTGTAAATGCCCGGCAAAAGAAAAAACCAGGCAAGAAGAACGAAAGAAGTGGAGAGGAGAGAAAGTGAAAAGAAATAGTCAGGACTCCTGTGTCACTATTAAACCCATCGGAACTTTGCTTCCTGCGTATGCCCAAAATAATAAGAAGGCCGCCAAGTGCAGGACCTGTAAAGGGCTTTGTGGCATGTTTTATCTCTTAACAGCCAGACAGTGACCAGAAAACGGCTCGACTAGCTTTAAAACGCGTTTTTCAGCAAAATTCCCAGGGGTGAATAGGTAAATAAGTGCACCACAATTTTGGACTGACTACAGTAGCTATTTCCAAAGTGAAAAAAACACAACCTTTATAGAAACAAACTGGGGAGAGTTGGTTTCTCAACAACAACGACAACGTTTCATTTTCCGGTACCTGTACCTAGTATTGATACTAACTAATATTATCATTAGATGAGTATCTGGAACATCTCACGGTCCTTTGCTGCAAGTCAACCTCACGAGTTTCTTAGTGAGCGGAGCGTTCTTATAGGCCGAGAAGCGGGCAAGCGAGCGACAATTAGCTAAAGGCTCCAAGCGATTGAGAAGATAGATAATAGTGGGTACAATGTGTGATGAATTAAGCTATATTTTAGAAAATAATATGAAAGAGCTGTCAAGATATTAACAAGAAGGCGTTGCACAAGAACTGCTCAAATTAGAGTCTAGAAAATCACTTATAAAAACCTTTAGGTACAAAATCCATACAGAATTAAGAGAAAATGTTGTGAGAATTAATAATAAAAATGATCACCTGATGGGAAAAGCTTTGATCTACAAACAAATTATCTTAACCAATTCTTTAGGGAAATGTATGGAGATCAGTCTGGAGAACTGGTATTTGAATATTGGGGCTTAAAGAGTTTAACAGTCGTAACAGCATTGTCTATTATACATGGGCATGAAGTGAAGTGGTCTGTAGTAATGCGACCGTGAAACAGATTATCTGAACTATTTCCATCTCTCCTCCAGTGCAAAGACATCTCCGTCATGGTCACCGAAAAGAACAAATCTTTTACTGTTCCAAAATTAATGGTAAGGTCCTTTGCGTCCTGATCTAAAATGGAATCAAGTCATATAAGTTATTCAACTATAATTAAGGTCATTGAATAGAGGAGAATCCTTCACACAGTGGCAATACGGTGACCATAAAAGAGCGAGTTTCAAAAGGCGTTTTCCAGCAAAATTACCAGGAGTGGGTGAATGGGTGAATTTACTACATGTATCCTACATCATTATTGTAACTGCATATTGTAAGAAGCTTGCATGGTATAATACTACCGTAAATCCTCTATTAAGCCCCCCCCCCCCCCTCTCTCAAATAAGCCCCCTCCCTCTAAAAAGCTCCCCTTTTCAAGGGAAGAAAGTTAATAAGCCCCCTCTCTATTAAGCCCCCCCCCTTATTTATTCTTCACTAATAAATTATAGACTGTATCGATCAACCACGACTGTAAAACTTCGTGTGGACTGATCCAGGATGGTTTATTTACCAACTGGAAGATCGGATTTGATTCTGATCCTCAGCTGCATGACCTAAAACTTCCTACCAAAAAGCAATTCTACCCCACCAAAATACAGAATTTTTACGTCATTTTTAAACCAATTAAAAACAACATGGCCGTCCTCACTTGGTATCACATCCAATATAGTAAATATTTTGTACAAAAATAACTACGTCTGCTACTTTTTTGAAGCTCCCAACATTTCTCTGGCGGTTTTCGTTTTTTTAAAAGCAGACTCCTTTGCAGCGTCAGCTTATACAGACAATGTCCGTTCTCTGCTTATGGTCATTCAGAAAGTCTGTGTGATTTACGTTCTGTTAGTTATGTGATTTTTTTCTTTCTTTACCTTATTGGGCAATAGATTTGCCCAAATTTTCAGGCAAATTAAGAAACTAAGCAATATAAATTTTATAGCATCAAGGCGGCATATTACTTCACTTCGGGCAGATGGCGTCGCTCAAAAACGCCTCCGTTTAAGTTCCCTATTCTGACGTGAGACACCCCTGATTGACCCCTTAAGGCATTTATAGTCGGGAGAATTTGTTTAAAGATCAAAGCATTTTCTCTTAATTTGGCTGATCATTTCATTGATTCTCATTGCTTTTTTCTTTTGCTTTTAAATGATATTGTTCGAAGAAAATTAGCCTGCTAGCAAACTCTCTTAGGTGCTCTGGCGGCGGGGCGAAAGGAGAAAACTGACAATAGAGATTTAAAGGTTTACGGAGTGTCGCCCATCTTTGAACTTTAATTTCTTGAGCCTGTTCTTCAATACTCGCCTGCATAGCAGAGTTGGCGGGACTTGGGGCGCGCGACCGAGTAATTCCTTAGATGCTTTTATTTGTCGTTGCCTTGGCTGTATAATGTCGCGATCAGAAAGGGGATGAGTTGCACTCATATGCGGTGGCTGATTACCGCTAATTATATTAACCACCTGATTCTGTCAGTTACGTATAGGCTAGACTTGCCACAAGTCGACCTCACGAGTTTCTAAACGAGCGACGAAGTCGTCAGAGGTCTCGGACGAAGGACTTTATGGAAAGTTCACGTATAGGTACCCTACGAGCAGAGGTCTCTCTCTTGCATGGCTTTTAGAGTGTACGAAGTCGCCGGTTCGCGTGGCTTGTCTGCCGTGCCGTTAGTTTCTTTACGCCCCGTGAGACGTAAACAAACTAACTACACGACAGACAAGCCACGCGAACGACTTTGTAAACGCTAAAAGCCATGCAAGAGAGTGACCCCTGCTCGCAGGGTGCCTATAGGTTACCTAAATACTTACTTGAGTGTCAGGTTTCTAACCTAAACAAATGTGCCTAAGACTTTTTGAGTATAATGTCGACCTCTGGAAATGAGGTCTCCGTCGTTAAGTCAAGAAATGTCTTACATTTGTACAATAGAATCGTTATTTTCCCTTTTCTGCAGACTGATGAACTTCACAATATGCAGGATGTTCCTTTGACCGAAAGGGAAGAGAAAACATAGACCGTGAGTATCACTCAAAAAATATTGTTTCCCTATTTTAAAATAACTTGGGAGGCAGAAGTAATAATTGCCTGCATAGAGCATACTTTGTGTTTAACATTATTTGTGCTTAAAAAGTTGTGTGCTCAAAAATTATATCAGTAAGGATGATGTTGCAGTATATTGTTTATTTCTATTTTTCATTTTTTCTGGGAAGATAAGCATCATAGAAGAAACACATCAAATGACATCTCAAGGTAACTATAAGTTGAATGATGTTCTCAGTACTGACATTCTAGAATCAGGTCTCCCTCTGTTTGTTCAAGTCCTCCAGATTTTCAACTATTTGCTTTTTCTGCTTAGAAACCAGCCTGTCACCAGTACATTGAAGAATCAGAAGGTAATAATGATTATTGAACAGTGGATGAACAGTCGAACCTCCACTTGGAGGTTACAGCAATTGCATCAAAGTCATTAACCACTTTTTTTTTACACTTAAGGCTAAAAGTAGCGATCTGGTGTTTGAAGATATTGACGATGACCTAGATCAAGAACTTGGTCACTTAACCTTAGGTATGGTAGATCTATACGTGTAAATATGATGGCCTGGAAGCTGTTTGATCCGACTGTAAATCGATTCGCCTCGGGATAAACCTCGATTTGTCCATTGTCAGTGTAAGACCTATTAAGATCAATAAAAGGAGGGTTTATTAACTCCAAAATACCCTAGCTAACACACTGAATCGTGTGAAGCTGCTGGTAACACCATACGGTCAAATCCCGCTTTACGGACACCTTTTTGATTAGGACGCCTTATTATTGCGAATAGTTTGCTTTGTCCCTGGCCTGGGGAAATAGAACCCTTACATTTTCTCTAACTTCAACCCACTTTATACGGACACCCCGTTAATACGGACACTTTCTCGGTATCTGTGTTAATTGAGTTTGACTGTACACAGAAACAAATAAATCGTTAAGATCTCCCACCAAGAAATGGACCGGTAAACGAAAACAAACAAGCAGACAAATCACTCCGTATGTGGACCTAGCGCTTGCGTTTGGGGCGGGGCTTGAACTTGCAAATCCAATTCCAGGGCTCTAACCAGCCTCTTACCCAGGCCAGTTCGCGCTATCCGAGTTACCAGAGGAGGCTTGTAACCGAGCGCGATAGCGGGAGGCGTCCTCGGCGCATTTTCCCGACAAGCTTGACAGTTGACGTCAAATCCGAAATCGCCAAGGACGACTGGGGACGAGGCTTTATCTTTTGTTGTCGTTTTAACATTGTCGTTTCATCCTTTTTGTAATTACATTTTGAAGTCAATCTTATCAAGACATGGACTTTGTTATAACGCTTACCCCTTAGCCTATTACAGTCTACGTCCCCCCCCCCCTTAGTCATTATCGTCGCAAGCGACTGCTAAAAGACAATAATAATAATAATAATAATAATAATAATAATAATAATAATAATAATAATAATAATAATAATAATAATCATTATAGAGGGAGCCCAACTCGCCAAGGCGGTTTTCAGTGGGGCCCTCATGCATTAATTTAACTAATTAATCAATTATTACGAAAAAAGTAAAATAAGTTTGCAAGTATTATTCAAAAAATATCAAGAACGCCTGATCACGCTGGCTCACTTGATTTAGGCAATACCCTGAGTAACTAGTCGCCTATTTACTGATGCATTTGTTGATCACATTAGGGCTTGAAGAATCTTATATTTGGAAATGCCAAGTCAAGCTTTACACCAGAATGGAGAAATCAAAGCTTTTCATTCTGTGACTTATATGGACTGGAATACGGAATTGTACAACTAAAGGTAAGGTCAAGTTAATGCGAATATTTCGCTTCAATCTCTAGGAAAAAAGGGAAATTGTTTGAACCATACAACGGTGACCAGTGGTCCAAGCTGCGACCGTTTTGGTTGCCATGGTGAGTAAAAAACAAAATTTTGCGATTAAAAGTGCAGCGAAAGTCGCCAATTGGGTACACACCTGTTTTAGGCGGTAATGCCGCCAAGCCGTTGCTTTTTCAATAGGTAAGTTTTTAGTGAGATAACATTTGCGTGAAATAGTTATCAGTTACGCTCCTGGCGACCATTATATGATTTTAGGTTGCAAAAAGGCAACTCTGTAGCACTGAAACTCTTCAGGTTTTAAAACAAATGAATAAAATAATTAATTCATTAAAGGAACCCTAGAGTGATCAGCCTCAAAGTTCTCCCGGTAGTATCTTAGCCTTATGAAACAGAGTGAGTAGATTATAATATTAGGGGTTATCATTGTTGTTGTTGTCGTTTTTTTTTTTCAGGGTGGACCCTGTGGAGTGTTGGCTGCTGTACAGGCGTTTGTCCTCAAGCATTTGTTGTTTGGCGGAAAGAAAGGGGACTCTAAAAAGTACAGTGTGTTTCAGATACAAGAGTATATGATGTTTACTCATTTTTTTCTCTAGGGTATCTTTAAATACCAGGAAAATGTCTGTTGGTTTGATGATTTAGTTTAGATTGTAAATAATCATTTTCAGTTGTCGTCCCTTTTTCTTGCAATATTCTGTACCATTGACGTCATTTTAAATGGACTGAGAGCGGCTGCCAATGGCGCCTTTGTGTGCTGACGTCCTAGCTTACTGTTCACATGTTAAAATATATTGTAAGAGGGCACGTCTGTTGTCCTCTCATCAACGACTCTTCATTCATTCATTTTACCGGATATCGCAAGCGTCTTCCAAAGTTGGTCAACGCTAGCTGGTTATGAAGAATATTAAAGCTGGGGGATTTGAGCCAATCAGAAACGGAGAAATTGAATGGCGATAATATTTTTTTTCCCATTTCCCCTGTCATTTCCATTCCTAGTAACAACTTCTGAGAATAACTCAGCCATGTCTTTTTTTTTTTTCTGCTCCTCCTGTCCGAACGTGGCGATTATGGAAACTAGTTTTTTTTTAATCTTTTAATAAATCCTATTTCGTGTCCATTTTAGGAAATTTCAAGAACCAAAGCTCTTACATCAGCAATTAGTGAAATATTATGGAGGGCTGGTGACAGCAGAGGTGCAGTAGTAGCCTTGTAAGTTACTCTGGAATTTTGTCTATGCATTATTTAAAAAAACGAGCAGGAGTGTTTTGGCGAGTTTTGAAACACGAGGCGCTGCCGTGAGTGATGTGTCGTTATCGAGTGATTGTCATCGGGCACTCCACTCTGCTCAAGGTGGCCTCAGCCGAGCAGCACGTTTGGACTGCCAGTGCCGGTAGTCTTCTGGGTCAGCCATAATAGGGACTTTAAGATCCAACGACGCGGACGGCAACGCGAAAGTAGAAAAATCAATAGGTTTTATGAGCAAACAACAACTTTGAACAAGAAGACGAAATTTTATCTCTTTCTGAACATGGTTATGGTCCCTAGGAATTCAACTCCAGGAGGGTTCGCCTACATTCGACATAGTAAGAGGGTAATGATTGCGATAAAGACTGAAAGAACGCAAATTCACTTTAAACGACGTTCCGGTTGCCGTCGCGTCGTTGGATCTTAAAGTCCCTAATGGTAGCCTGCGTCGCAGACGTAATCTTATCGCAGTTAGTAACGTCTGCGAAGCAGCCCCGAGGTTCTTGTTCGACGCCCCAAACGGACTTAATGAATCAGTTATCGGAAGGGCGTTTGGATTTCCCTTCAACCCGAACAGGCCAATCACGGCGTGTACTCAATCCTGGTACACAGCAGGGGCCCAGAAGGCTCTGAAGTCCAACCAACATTAGTTTGCGAGGCACTATGGCAGAGAAAGTTGTTCTGCTAAGTATGATATCTTGAACTAGGTAGCGACCTTTCACGATTTGACTACGAATACAAATTTTCGAGTACCAGTGAAACTTTAGAATTTCGAGCTACTTTTATCCTCCGAATTATAACCCTTTCATGTTGCTAACCAGATCGGTGTTTATATATTACGTAATTATATTTGACACACGAAGTTGGTTTGAAAAGTGGTACATGTGCTTGTACTACAATCTAAGGGTGCGGCCGTCCCTCATAGGAAGAACGGCGACGGCAACGACAAACGCCAAAAGTAGAGCCTTTTGGTACGTTATTTTACCGTTCTCTGTCTAAAGATGCTTTTTACTGAATGTGGCGAACTGTGGAGTGGGTGACCACAAGACGACGAATGTTTCCTCCTTTTTTTGATCGTCTTTTGATCGCCGATGCGATCAAAAGTTGTTTTCGCTGTCGTCGTCGTTGTGATTGCTTAAGCTCTTCGAATTACCTCCCTTGACACCATCGTAATCGAAAACAAAACCAAAATAAAACATCAAACAAAACAAATCAATAACAACAAGCAAGACATGGCCTTTGGTTTTTCCTTTCATGGGGTTGTTAGTTTTGCTCTTACAATCTTTTCTTTTTTAAAAAATAAAAATCGGGCAAAATCTTTGCGGATGGAGCAATCTCCAAATCAAGTAAGAAAAATATTGAAAAGACACCTCAACTCGGTAGCTACGATAATTTCGACAACACCAGAAGTTACATCCCATTTAGTTAATTGTAACAATTTATTTCAGACCTACTGGTGGTTCTAATGTTTTTGGTGCTGGGCGATACAAATCGGACCAGTTAACAGAAGCGGTAAGTACTGCAATTTCCCATAAGATCACCCGACACCTGCCCCCTGACAGAACGTTTTAAGTCAAGATGGGACATTTCACGCCAAAATGGCTCGATCGTGACATTTTTACGGGAAAATAGGGCGCCTGCACTGTAAACAATGTCGCACTTGTATTGAGAACTCACTTTCCTCTTCGTCAAGGGTGACTTCGTAATACATGTTTGGCTTTACCGAAAGAGATCGGTCTCCGAAATAGTGTTCGCATTAAACCTCTTTAACGAATATTGTTCATGGTGGATGTGAGATGTGCAGGTAGACTGTTGTTACTGTAATTGCTGCCATAATGCAGTAATGGTATTTTGTTCCTACACATTTGCTCGAGGTAGATTTTAGCTGTTCAAACATAAGATGCAGGGTTCGTACGCGTCTTGAAAACCCTTGAAAACCCTTGAATTTCAGGAGTCCGATTTCAAGGCCTTGAAAGTACTTGAATTTCGTTTTCGGTCCTTGAAAGTCCGTGAGTTTTTATTGAACAAGATCTAAAATGTTCTGCACTATCTGTAAACCCAAATTATAGATGTTAACACAAACATTTTTCTTGGTTTTGAGGTAAAATTGTCATTAAAAAAAGTCCTTGAAATTTCTAGTTAGGGTCCTGGAAAGTCCTTAAAAAGTCCTTGAATTTTTGGCCTGAAAAAGTGTACGAACCCTGAGGATGGCAAAAGGAAAGAGTGAAGTCTGAATTCAGGTTTGAAAGCTAAGAAAAATAGAAAATTCAGTTAAATTCTTTTTGTCCACACACTAATGATTGCATACTCAAAAAAGAATAGAAAAAATGTTCCTGAGAAAATGCTTTATTAAAAAAGAAAAAGAAACTCAGATAACAATTTTAACCCCAAATTTGCTCTAATCGGTCTTCGAACACCTGGGCCCTGCAATGAAAGCGATTGCTTCTTTGTTATTAAATTTGACAAGACATGTCCAACCCATGTCCGAATGCAATTAAGAGTTCGCCGAACGTGGGCCAATTTTAGTTGGACTTTGTTCGATGACCAACTATTATTTGCAGCCCTGCACGACTGATAAATGGGCCTTGTTTGTTTTCTTACATCAAGATGATGGTATTTTTCTGTTGCACTCTACTTGCAGTTTTGTAATTGTGAGTTAATCACATCTGCTCACTCACTTTTTTCTGTAAACCGCAGCTTGTGTTATACACCTTCAAGTCTTCTGAAAGTCTTCTTAGTTTTATCTCGCAAAATATATCGCAGGTACGTAGAATTCTTACTAGGTTGCTCTATCCTTACCTGTTGTGTGTCTGTACAATTAGCAGTTAGTCAATGAGTCTGGATAAGGTGGTTTTTATTTCTCCTTTTCACGAGGTACCGTTGCTTACCTTTTAACCATTGTATCTGTTTTATGATGTTTTTTAAAAAGGATTATTTTATCAAGCGTAAATCATTGGTGAAACGATTACTGAAGTCGGTTTACTTAACAGCAAAAGTGATACTTGATCTGCCCACCAATGACTAATCGCGATATTTCCAAGTACTTGAACTTGTCCGATAAATGCTTATTGCCTGAAAACAAGGGCCGAAAGTTAGCGGTCTGTAATATGCCCCTTTATTCTCAATGGAACAAATCAGAACCGCCTCAATGAAGAGGAGAAGTCGTTACGTCATGTTGCCAGGGTAGCAAAATGTCTGGATCTGAACAAACCGTAGCCAATGGCACAAAAAAAAAAACGAAAAAGTTAACATGGATTCCTTTCCTGTGCATGATTGCACTCAGGAACAAAACAGTAGCCCATACTTTTCTTCCATCGTTCGACAGTGCAAATGGCCGTCCTTGTCAAGAAAGATTGTTAAGATCCAGATCATGATTTTGTCGCCATGGTAACGTGACGTCACTCCTCTCCTCTCTCTAGGGGAGTTTGCTTGCTGATTGTGGTTCACTTAAACAAACATTGCCACCGTGACGTCATGGAAGGTCCTCATTAGGCTTCTTCAATCCAGTTATTCCGACCGTAATGCTAAACATGCCTTTCAATGGACAGATTTGTTGGACTGAATACAGTTACAGTCAACCGAATGACAAAACGTCGATATCGTAAGTCTAAATGAAAGGTGTTTAGAGCGCGTCTCCAAATTAAGTGATGTATCGTTTTTCAGTGCAACTGGTTTGCCAAATTTTCGTTGTCCAATTCCCGTCTCACTTTCATAATTTCACCCTGAATCTCCATTTCCTTTCCCTCTAAAATCCCGGATCCCGACCGTCAAATAAGCGAAATCTCGGATCCCGAAAAGCCTATTGAGGGCCCATCGCGGGAGGGGGGTGACTCCTATATGAAAGGGGCGGAGATGATGGTCGGAACTTTTGAATTAAATCCCTAAAGGAGACCAAACTGGGCATGGCCCAACCTTTTTTGACCCGTAAATAAACTTTGATAACATGAAACGCGTAAATAAAACAAAAAGAGACCTTTACGGCTAAATATAATGGCGTTTTGCCCAGAATACCGTAAGCGAGACCGAAAATTGCACCCCTAAGCGAGACAACGAGCATCCACGCCCCTTTCATATGGGAGTTCCCCGGTTCGTTCTTCAACGTCTTGCGCTTGCCGGTATAAAATTAAAATGGCTTTACTAGAGTTTTTATCACAGGCATATTAACAGCTCATAAGAGCCAAACTTAATCCTGAATTATGTACTTTCCGTATAACTGCATTTCATCTAGAAATAAATCCACTTTTTGTCCATTTTCAGTTTGAGTCTGATAGTAGCAGTGGATGTATTTTACTGTTGTATTCTGTGATATTGTCCAGGTCAATACGAAAGTAAGTGAAGCTCTAGTAAATGATATTTAACCCTTTAAGCCCTAATACCCACATACAAATTCTTCAAACTAATACTAGATATTTCCTCAAAGAATTAGTTGAGAGAATATGATATAAAAAATCAAAGCATTTTCCTTTCAATGATCATTTCTTTAATTCTCATAACCTTTAGTCTTGATTTTGTATCTATATCGTGAGGAGAAAGTTGATGTTGGTCACTCTTGGAACTGATGGTTAAATGAATAAATAACAATGTATGATTTAGATGTAGCGTATCCACATGGTGGTTCTTCGTCTATTACTCCCGTTAAGGATTGCCATTTAGTGCCGGGGGGCGGCCATTTCCCCCGGCTGTTATGAGTAAGACCCCTGGCCACTTTCTTAGGTCACAAAAGGAAATAGAATCAAAGAACCTCCCAGCTGTTAAATCTCCGCCTTCTAGTAAGTGCATATGCACGGCACATTGCTTATCCTGTGACTTACGTTGCATCTCATGCTGGCATTTTGAGCTGATCTTTGCGGATCTGGTTTTTTATTTTAATCTTTGCGGATTCTGGCTCCCACCCTCTCCCTCTCCTTTTTGGGTTTGAATGTTGGTAAGTAAAGGGTCAGGTGAATATTTTCCGCTGAATTTCCTTCAGTGTGACGGTGCCAGTTGGCGGCTGCATGCAGGGGTGGTTCCCGCTTGCAGGGTTGCCATGGATACCTCCTTGCTATGTCTGAGGCGCTCAGGCTCCCGTCCAACCATTAAGGCACCAGTTCTCAAGTTCATCTATTGGCGGTGAGTTTAAAGGCAAATAGTTGACTAGGGGCAAAGAAGTATCAATGTCAGTAGAAATCGAGAGTAAGCCTTTGTGTTATAATTTCGAGAAAAATAATCTGCTAGTATTATATTGCAAGTTTAATGTAAGGGAGCTTCTGGTGATTTTTATCAAGTATTTAGTGGCCTTAAACTTTTCTTGTTGTTGTTGTTTAAGAGTGATATCTGATATGGATGAACCTCAAGGCAGGCTGATGGGTGCTCACGGCTACTGCACGCAGGTTAGATTTTCAATGCAGTACTTGTATACTACAATCTTTTCATTTACGGGTATCAATCTGACGACGACGACGAGGATGATGATGATGATGATTTCCCCGACGTTAATCTTAAATGGAATGGATAGTCTTTGTAGGTTATGCCTTCGCGTGCCTATTTATTTTAATAGAATGTTCAATATTATAATTTTTTTGTATGTCTGCTAACACCATTCTTAGCGCAGTTTTCCCAGGTGCGGTGGTAAGGTGCTCCCTTAGTCCCTTGATGTATCATACAAGTGTTTGTTACTTTGTTTGGTTGTCTGTTTCCGTCTTTCTTTCGTTCTTTCTTAATAGCTGAAATTTCGTCCAGTTTGAGCTTCTTTTTCATTAATTGCAGCAAAAGTCTCATTCTCGTTCTTATTACATGTATTGTCCTTTACAGGAACTGGTGAACTTGTTAATAACTGGAAAGGCTGTCTCAAACACATTCGATAACATCATGGAAGTTGATACAGGGGGTTCGAAAAAGGTGTAGTATTTAAGACGATGTCATGAAGGATATTTTTCATCGTGGTTAATGTGTTTAAAGGGTTCCGTTTATCGTTTGTCCCAAGATTGTCACTACTGATCGCTACTTACTTAGGTCCTCGTCAGGCGATAAAGTTGATTTCCTGAGTGAGACTGTTTGTACCCCACCCCCATGGTTGTTAATGATTCGTGTACAGTCACCTCCGTTTTACGGACACCTTGCTAATTCGGGACACTTTCTATGGCTCCCTTAGTGTCTGTATTCACGCGGTTTGGCTGTATCACGCACCTAAAGCGATTTTTACTGATATGTGAAAATTTTCCTTGTCCTCGGAGAAAAAAAGCCCTTACTTTTTCTCTTAATTCAACCCGTGTAATACGAATACCCCGTTAATACGGACACTTTCTATGCCCCCCTTAGAGTCCGTATGTACGGGGTTTCACTGTATTACGAACCTAAGACGATTTTCACATGTGACAGTTTTCCTTGTCCCTGGAGAATGAAAGCCCTGAGATTTTTCTTAATTCAACCCTCCTAATACGAACACCTCGTTAATACGAACACTTTCTATACCCCCCTTAGAGTCCGTATGTACGGGGTTTCACTGTATCACGAACCTATTAAAGATTATTTTCAGTAATATGTAAAACGGAATTACAACGATTCAGTGTGATACAACCCCATCATCTCGAGAATATCTGAAGGAATTCCCCTTATTCTCTGCAACTGCTGATGCCTCTTAGTTTCTTTAAACATTCTGTTTAATCTTTCGACGTGAACGTCTTATAGTAAGGTTTTTTGCTTCCCTATAAATGCTAACATTTACCGATTTTTTTTTTTTTTTTTTTTTTTTTTTTTAGAATGTCTTCAAAGGGATAGATAAACAAAGTGAGATCGGGTTTCTGTCCTTATTTGAACATTACAAATCATGCGAGGTTGGTGATGACTAGAGATATTAGCGACCTTAAGCAACGGTGACGGCGACGGCGACGGCAACGAGGACGGGAAAAAAGCAATAGGTTTAGAGCCTGTTTACATGGAGGTGGGGGACCCCAGGTAGGGGAGGTAACCCGCTTAGGTCGGGTAACCCACCTCTCCATATAATCTCCCATATTAATTTGATCACGTTTACATGATAGGTGGGGTGACCCGCTGTATGTTACCTCACCTATCTGGAGTCCCCCACCGCCATGTAAACATACCCTTAGATTGGCAAAACAATACGCTTTTTTGTGCATTTCTTCGTCGTCGTTGCACGACTACAACGTGAAGGTGCCTAATTTCACGTTTTGTCGAGGACGAGAACATGCGACTTTCTTTTCCTGTACTTTGATACAGTCCTTTAGAATTCAACTACAAAAAATTTGCCAACATTTGACGAGTTAAACGAGATGCTATAAGCGCGATAAAATTTGAGGCAACGCGAATTCACTTTTCAGGTGACTTTTTAGTAGTCGTTGTTGTCGTTGTTGCTTAAGCTGCCTATTTCTTTGTGTAGAGAGGAAAGAAGGGGGGCGGGGGTGTGATGAAAGGGTCACCGTCTTTAGGGAGTTTAAGCAGCTACGTTTTGAGCGACACATGTCAACCGGAAGTGAATTTTTTTTTCTATGTGCCTTTTCTCTTATGTGTTCAAAATCACGGCTCAAGAGTGGAAAAAGTACACTTCCGGTTGACGTGCGTCGCTCAAAAACGTCGCTGCTTAAATTGCCTTTTATTTTTCTGCACACATCCAAGGCTGCTTCCTGTTCCTCCTAGTTTAAGTGGAACAGAACTCGTTGTTCTTCTTTAATACATTGAGGCAAACCTTAGGGTGGAGCTCCCGTCCATAATAGTGGACCTTGGAAATGAACAGACTGTTAGACGTTTTCGTAGCCGTCGCCGTCGCCGTCGCCGTCCTTGTTGCTTGTTGCAGGCATTAACTCGTCTGGATAGAGCCAAGCTCTGTAGATAGGCTGGTTGACATACGTTGGTTTGTAACGTCCCGAGTAGAAAATAAAGGCGACTGAAACAATCCAGATTATTATATGGAAATCAGGCTTAAGGTTTAACCCTTTATGTCCCACGGGTGACCAACATCAATTATCTCCTAACAATATTTGTACATTATCAAGAGACCGGGTTATGAGAATTAATAAAGTCATCACTTAAGTGAAGATGCTTTGATCTTAAATCATATTCTCTCAACTTGTTTTTCAAGGAAATGTAAGGAGATCAGTGTGAGGAATTTTTATGTTGATATTGGGGCTTAAGGTTTAACCGGCGAATAGTTCAAAGGAGCAGTTTTGCTACCCTGCAGAACAGGCGTTATTTTTTGCGTTTCTCAAACAAACTGCTGTGATAAACATATAAGGGAATATAAACGCATTTTTGTTTATCACCGCTGTTTGCTTTTTGTTTCTTCTTCAGCTTAGATGGCCAAACAACATGAGTATCTACGGTGTACTGACAAAATTCATCATTTCATTTGTTACAGGTTGGTGTGAATTACAAGACTCCCAATTATCCTATTTGGGTGATATGCAGCGAGAGTCACTTCAGTGTCTTGTTCTCTATCGACAGAAACCTCTTGGACGACTGGTAAGCTTATAATGACTAGTAAATGGCCGTATTTACACTAGAGACGGATTATCCGTTGGATAATTCGCGTCAGACAGATAATACGTCTTAGTTTTGGATGGACAATCCACCTGACTTCATCCATCTGTATTTCCTTCAATTTTGACGGATTTTCAAGATGGATTATCCGTCTCAAACGGATAATCCGTCTCCAGTGTGAAAACAGCCATTGATACTAGCCAATTTACGGCATTTGAACTTATCAGCCTGTTTTTATTCTTCCTAAAGACTTCTATTCTTTGATGTTGTCACTGAAAGCCATTTATGTAGTAATGAGGAGTTTTATTCCTTCCGTTTTGTTAAAAACACTGATGGTGTAAAAGGGATGCTACGTCCTGGTCACTTGCAGCGCTTTACCGAAGCGTTAGAAAATTACGTCTATCAGCGACCAGTTTATAGGCAAATGATGATGGTCGGACACCAACTGTATGAAGGAGTGGGAAACTGTCCACTTACCCCTCCCCTAAGCCAACATTAACACTTACTTCTCACTTAGGGCAAAATGTTGGCTTAGGGGAGGGGTAGGTGGGCAGTCTCCCAGAAACGTATAATGATCAGATCAAAGCGTGCAAACTCAGAGGCAACGTTTTGGTATCGAGGTTTCTCGGTTACTGACCACCTACCCCTCCCCTAAGTCGACGTTAACTTTTATTTCTCACTAAGGGTAAAATTGTTACATAGGTAAGGGGTAGGTGGTCCAAGCTTTGGGCACCTCCAAGGGAAATTGGACCAAGAGTACTCTTGTTAGACGCTTATACTAAGCTTAGCAAGCCATGGTGCCCACACGACCGAGGCTTCTCCCAGTCTCTTTAGTATGAGAAACCTGGGTGTAATGCTTTCCTCCCCCGCCATCTCTCCCGCTAGGAAAGGAAACTTCTGCATGTGGGCTATCGCAGGGTTACCGCTAGCAGTATGTCGCCGGGTTCCGTTAATACACATGAGTGAGGAGAGACAACGTTAAGGAATGAACGCGATGGCAGGGCTTGAAACCTGAACTACGGATCCGAAGCCAGAGGTCCTTGCTGGCCGGAAGTCCTAGTCATAATTGTTGAAGCACTCGCGGATTTCTTCGCCCCTTCCGCTTCAATGTTTATACAAAAAAGTCCAAGCAATCTCTTAAAACCAACACTGGGAGAAGGAGACCTTAAGGGAATCGGAGCATGTATTCGTGGAATGACTTGGTTTATCTTGTTTTTTCAAGATTATGATAGTGATTGCAGGATTGGATGTGTGGATAATGTGCTATCTAACTGCAATATAGGAGTCGATGTAGGCTCTAACGATTGTTTGTTTGTTTGATTGATTGATTGATCGATCGATCGATTAATTGATTGACATACACAGGAGGTTAGAGAAGAAGTTTGATCTTTATTACTATGATGGTCTGGCACGGCAGGATGAGGAGTTAAGATTGACAGTTGGTGAGTAAGCATTACTTCCTGTAAACTGCCATAGTGTAAGCTACATGGTCTTGCTTGGGTACATAGCTGTTACAGGCTAGCTAATGGCCTAGAAAAAAGATACTTCAAGGTCATGAAAAAGTCAGGGAAGTTATTTTGAGTCAGGAAAAATTGAAATAATTAACAAAAACTAAGGGAAAATTGAAATTTTAATTCCATGGGTTAAATACCATTAATATGGAAAAACGCATTTCGGGTTAATATAATCTCAGAGATGTCTTTTGTTGATGAAATTACGATAGCGTCACTGTAATATGTATGACATCATCTCATTTCAACTGAAGCTTCCTTTTTCATGAAAGAAAGATAAAAAGGCGTTTTGAAAATAAAAACAAGAAGAAAAAAAAGAAAAGAAAAAAAAAATCAACACTATGAAAGCGTATTACAAAACGTACATTTTAGGTGCCTGAAAAAGCCGTTTAATTGTGGACGGCAGAAGACTTAAGAGACAATGTCTGTAATTTTCGAGAATCGGTTGACAGTCGTGAATTTTTGAATTTCTTCATATTTTGCCCAAATAATCTCTATAGTACACTTATTTCAAAAATCACATTAAAACTTGTGACGGCTTTTTATTTTTTCAGGAATCGGGCAAAGTTTGAAAAACGGTAAATCGGCGCTCTTTCGAGTATGAAATTAGTGAAAATTGAGCATTTTCTTCGCGCTCGTAGATAAAAACGGGGTAATATCTCTGAATGAAATCAAGTCACAAAACAAACAAAGACTTGTGCTTTATAATTCAGCAATTAACTTTAGATAAGCTGTTTAAATATGACTGTGGCGGCCGTGAGAAGAAACACGGTTTCGGCTCTTTGCAAAAATGGCAAATTTGACCTAACTTCACCGTCGAAAAAACCCAATTGGTACGTGGCATTTCAACATGAAACAAACACTGTTTTAAAGCACATCGTTTGCTGTTTCTTGTGTTAAAAAATTTCTGGCGGCATTCCATACGCGCCCCGTCGAGAGACCAAAATCTGAAGGGTATTTTGACACCACGAGAGCTCGTGAAACAAACAAGTTACTACGCTTCGACAAAATTCTCTGTTAGAAAATATAGTTTCCTCGACATTTGAACCTTTTTCAGAGTTTTAACGGCTACCGACTATAAATCTGCATTTCTTTCAGATCAAACACGATGCCTTTGAAACAGATGTTTGGGATAAACCATAATGCACAGATACACTTGCAGTTCAAATATTGTCAAACTATACTCTTACTATAATTATATTCGTATCAGTCGAAACCTTAAAAGCAGGTGAGATATTAACTTACCCTAACTTCATGAATGCTAGACGAAGAAATATCCGCTCTTAAAGAGTTTGTGCCTGGAACTTGCAGCAGGCAGGTCGTATCAAAGTTTTCTGTCACCACGAAGGGAAGAATATGTCATTCCGGAAGTGCGTGACGCGTAACGCGCCCGAAAAGAAAATTCCTGGCCAGTCTACACGGTCTAAAGTTATGTGGTACAAGTCAATCTTATGGCGTCTTTGTACATATTCAAACTTGGTTGGTGGCCCCCGTGGCCCCAGTACAACTAATCCTGCGAATGTTGAATGCATTGCAATCGGCGATTGTACAAAAGATATCGTCAGTCACTTGGCTTACTGCAAGATCAGCGACGACTGTGTTGACAGCGAGGCTAATTTGCTACTCGCGCGAGCAGGTAAGATACTGAGTTGTTGCAATAAACAAAGATCAATTCTACCTTAAAATTCTCTTTTTAATTAGTGCTTATGATAAACAACATCTTCTATCTCTACATTAGGCGTGTTTGAGCCTCAAGATTTACACATTAAAATGACAGTTTGTCCTCGCCATCGCGAACTGTTTGGTACCAGGTGGCGCTGCAATAGATCACGTTGTACTGTCCCTGATAGGGTGGCTGTACACAAAGGCACCCCGAAGGCTCAATGCGGCTTGAAGAAGATGATATCCGCGTATATTTTGCGAGCAACGAAGGTGCTCGTTCCTTTGGGCTCACGTAAGTATTTTTTTTATTAAATGTTATTATTTCAGTCAACGCCAAAGTCGCTCTCAGCTGACCATTACGTCATGGCTATTATTTTTAGCTCAGAGAAGGAGGAGGAGGGGTCGGTAGGGTGGTATTGGGTACTTTTTGCTTTGAGGATCAACCCTACATTTACCTTAATTTTAAAAAAATTGCCTTATCAATCACTTCATATACTTTATGCTAGGTTATGTTTAAAGGACGGTACACTGTTTTTTCTGAACTTTGCTTTTCGAAAATATTAATTTCTAACAAATTGTTTGTTCTTTTAAACTTCAGCAATCTGCAAGCAATGCCGAGAGCATTTAGTCGGCCTCGTTGCTAGTGAAGAGGTCACCCGTGAACCTGCGGATTCTGCACCGGAAGTAACCGGTGGCGGTACCCAAGCCGAAGACCAAGAAAGACTTGAGTCTGCACAGGTCGAAGAGATAAGCTACATTTCAAATTGAGTGTTCTTTGTTTGCTCTGTGTTGAAAAAAATAGGATGTACGAAAAAGGACGAAGCCTGTTCTAGGCGATCAAACAGTTAGGGAGGCGCAAAGGGGAGTGATTTCGTACCACTCTCTACCATCTGAACGCCTGGAACAGAGCTTCAAAGAGAAGTAAAAAGTCGCTTGTTGTTTTCTAGAGGGTTGTAACCACACTCGACGACGTTCGATGAGTGATGTTACCGCAAGTTGGAAGGAAGATACTAAAGTTCGTGTGATTCAATGCATTTTAGCTCGGCTGTGAAGTGAGCTGATGTGTTTTATAAGCAGTGCATTTTTCTATTATCGCTACAGGAAGAAAAGGTCAGTACCAGTAGCACATCCGACGAGCTAGCAACCGGCTTCAGCCACATGAAGATAGCAGATGAATCTTTTCTTTCTCCGGAGACCGCAAGTACTGCTTCATCAACTGGAGACAGGAATGGCTCCTCAACCGCTGGAACGCAGCCGCGTGAATTGCTCAATACTTTTCTAAACCAATGTAATATTCAACCGCTTGGAAGACCGTGGCTGGAATGGGGCGAGGTAAGCAGCCGGACACCGTCCCGATACATTCAGCGATCCAGCGAGATAGTTTCCACCGTCCTTAAAACCATTTCGCCAATTAACGCACCCCATTTGTGGGAAGCACTCCAGTCATCCGATGTCGTGAACCGGCAGATGGGTCTTCATGCCGCATCTCTACCTTCAGAGGTAGGATACCTAGAGGCTCTGGCTGAGTCATACAGTAACGCAGCCTCCTGGGATACTCGTCGTCAGGTATTGTCCGTGATGACAGGAGTGGCTTCCTTTAAAGCCATCTCCACATTTATACCTGGTTTGACCCAGTATCGATATACGATGGCCAAGCTTCACGGTGTTCAGCATGGAAGAAATGCTCCCGTACCCGAAAAGAAGGCTCCGAGACTTCAAATAGAGCCAAAACAATTAGATCACTTTCTGGGTTTTATAACTAGCCCTCATTTAGTACAAGATTTGCCATTTGGGGAAAAACACCTTCACCTCTCTTCCGGGAAGGTAATCACTGTGCCAAACGTAGTGCGCACAATGATACCTGAACGGATTGTGACACAGTACAATCAGTATTGTGCTGAGGCCAATTTTAAGCCTTCAAGTCGAAGTACCCTGTTGCGAATTCTGTCAGAGTGTAGTGCGTCTGTCCGCACGTCCCTACAGGGGCTAGATTATTTCGCGGCGGAAGGAGGGAGAGCATTTGATGACCTTGCCTCCATAGCAGATAACGTTTCGTTACTTAAAACTAACGGAGAAGAGTGGGGCGGAAGAATTAAAGATCAGCTAAAAGCAGGAAAGCTCTACCTAAAAAGTGATTTTAAGGTAACTGTTAATGATTCAAACTATATTGTATTTGCGTTTCGAATTTAAAAAAAAACGCGCGTTAGATGATACTTACATTAACCAGGATAACGTTATTATCGTAGCGGTAAACAATTACTATAATAATGATAAGATATTTATTTAACCCTCGGACGTACATGTAAATTTATACCCCCACCGTGGTACAAGGGGGAAGGGGTGGATGGATCCCCCCTAGAGTTTTTGGTATGTTGAAGTATTTCGAAACAATTTTACTTTGAGTGGAAAGCCTTTGATCTTCTCTACAAGAAAAAATAATAAATAAGCACTTTGCATGATTTTAGCCACAAGATTTTCTTCTATTGTTAGGAGCCCATGGGTTATGGGCTCCTGCTATTGTTGAAAAAAGTTGACAAAACATGTACTTTTGCTCAAAAATGGCTTGACCACCTCCTACTTTAATATCTCGTTACCATAGAAACTGACCATCACTGAACATGACTCAAAATGAACGAACAGCTACTGAAAGCATCAGGTGCTAATGTTTTATCCTCTAGGAGAAAACTCAGAAAAACCTTGGGGGATGGGGGGGGGAGGGGTGGTACGTCTGAGGGTTAACTTTTACATGCCATAATCAATTATAAAACAGCATGACGGGCGCGACAGCGTAACCCGTTGACTATAGTGAAAACCCTTTATTCTTAGCCTGTTTCAGGCTCCAAGATAGTCGGGTTTGCGAAATTGAGGAGGTGCGAACTCGAAAATAAAACGGGAGGAAACTGGGGAGAGGAAGGAGGTGGAGCCTGTAATCATTTCTTTAACGGCCTTCTCCGTTATCCCAGCTTCTGGTATACGCTCTGATTGATCACATTTGACAGTTAACATCATCACCTAATTGCGTGAGTCATTATCAGTCATCCTTAAGACAACCACTGAGAATTTGAATACACGTTAGAACGTTTCCTACTTTTAGACGACTGTCTGCGAAAGTTTTCTCCCTCCCTTCCTTTTTCCCTCCACTTCTCCCTTTTTCCTTGATCATGGGCACATTTTTTCCGTGCCTTTGACTTAAGAGTCATCCTAATCTTAGGATTTCCGTATAACTAAATAAATATCTTAATAGGAATTACAATTTAAAATCTTTTTTTTCACGTCAACATCAACAGCAGTATTCAACAGTAAGGGTGCTAAAATAGGAAAGTAAAAAAGAATCTTCTTATCATTATTAAGGTGCATATCAACAGTGAAGCAAGAGTGGCCGATCACTGCAGCGTTTACGCTCTGAGTGACGTATCCGAGTCTTCCTTCAGACAGCATTGCGAGCACAAGCACGAGGAGTTGTGTGATCAGTGTCATGCCCTCGATGTTGCAATATATGAAATTGGAACAGCCGCGCAAAATGCCGTATTTCCTGACGAGGAACAACGTGATGAAGCTCTGTTCCTGTTCGAGGCGGCCAAGAGATCAGTGCAGGCGTGGAAGGCGCATCAATTACGGTCCGTACAGCAAGATAAATCGAGGCTGGATGTGCTTGAACTGTTGAACAACGACACCGTTCTTATTGTTAGCGACTGGGCCATGAAATTCCTCCCTCAGCTATATAGAGAATCACAGCAAGACTGGTTCGGCAAGAGAGGGATTTCATGGCACATCGCTGTTGTATTCAGACGGGTGAACGGCTCCGAAATCCAGACACAGGCGTTTGTTCATGTTGTGCAGTCTTGTAGTCAGGACAGTACTGCTGTGGTGTTGATGATGCAGCACGTATTAAAAACACTGCACGAAGAATACCCTGAGATTACCAAGGCCCATCTACGGCAAGACAACGCAGGATGCTACCACTGCGCTAATACTATCCTTGCTTGTCGTACCTTTGAGCAGTCAACCGGTATCAAAGTTGTACGTATGGATTTTAGTGACCCCCAAGGAGGTAAGGGAGCGGCGGACAGGTTGGCGGCCACTTGCAAAAACCACATCCGAACGTACATTAACGAGGGCAACAATTTCACAACAGCAGCGGAGATGAAGGAGGCCTTGTTATCCTATGGAGGAGTGGAAGGTGTCCGAGTTGCTATCCTGCCTTCAATAGAAGAAACTGTGGAGCTTCGAAAGATATCTGGAATAAGCAAGCTGAATAACTTTCTGTTTACGGAGGACTCCCTTCAAGCTTGGCGTGCTTATGCGATCGGTCCTGGAAAGATCATAGCCTCGGAAAAGGTTCCAGGTCAGTGTCATTTCTGGGAAGTTGAAAATAAAAAGGGGAGAATGTCCTTAACTGGTGGGGATAGCAGAATTCCGTTGCTACTCCCGTATGTAGGTATGGTACAAGCTATTGTCGCGGTATTTTGTAAAACCCAGCACGTAACCCAGAGACGTAAGAGAAATATTTTTTTTCCTTTAATATAATTTTCTTGAAAATTTTGTTAACGTCACTGGGATAAGGTTTTTGCTACTACACCTCAAGGAATTAATAATTTTTTTTTTTCAATTACTCATTTCAGTAACTCTGCTGTAACATATGCTTCATATTCCCACTCTTTTGACAGATGTGACCTATAACTGGCTTACTGTTTCTTTTTCGGCTGGTGGGTTTAAACCAATTACTCTAAAATCGGCTTCAACGCATGCTAGACTCCAGGCAGCCCCCCAAGTTTCCGAAGTTCAGCAAAGTAGCCCTGAAAGGTATCCGTCCAGTGTTTATTCGTGCCCTAAAGAAGGTTGTGTTAAAGTTTTTCAAAGAGCGTCTGCCCTAGAACGTCACCTGTCGTTAGAGGCCTGTACCCTCTCTCCAGAAAGGCACGCCCTGCTGGATTTGGCCAAACATCAATACGCCGCTCGCCTACAGGAGGGCGTAGGGCTTATTCCTGCACTGCGAGCAGTACCAAGCTCAGTTGGCAGTTCACATCAACGTGAGGAGGTCAAGGAAGGGTGGGCGCTGAAACAAGTGAAGAAACCATACCGTTTCAACCAAAAGCAGAAAACCTACTTGGAGCAAAAGTTCAATATCGGCCAGTCCACCGGCAGTAAGATTGACCCTGCCTTTGTAGCGAAGGAAATGCGCCGTTCCAGGGGCAAAGACGGGGAAAGGTTATTCGTTGTTTCTGAATTCCTGACACCACAGCAAGTGTCCTCCTTTTTCTCGCGACTGGCACTAAAAGTGCGTCAGCAACAGGTTGAGGTCTCGGAAGAGGACGCCTTAGCTGTAGAGGAGCAAAGCAATTTCGCTACTGCAAAAGAAAATGTGCTTTCTTCCCTGCAGCTCCGTCATCCCATTGTTGTTGACGAGTACAACGTATGCTCTCTGGTCAACAATAAATCTGAGTTTCGGAAAACGAAGGTGGCACTGCTCCAACATCTTTGCGAACGCTTAGAGCTGAATACACCTGTACCAGCAGTGAGCCCCATATGTGGAACTTTTAGAAGAAGTTGTAAATAGCTGCTGTTGTAACCCCCGAAAGTGAACAAATTAGCTTACTCCCAGTGACTGGAGCTATACTGATTTTCTCATGTAATTCAAGTTAAGTTTTTATTTGTTCGCGATTCGTGGTTGTTAACCCTCGGACGTACACGCAAATTCATACCCCTGCCGTGGTACAACCGGGGGGGGGGGGGGGAGGGGATGAATAGAACCCCTTCCGGGAGTTTTTGATATGTTGCAGTATTTTGAAACGAGTTTACCTTTAGTGGAAAGCCCTTTTCGTAACCATAGCAATTGACCATGACCAAACTTGTCTCAAAACCTGCGCGAGGGATGAACGAACAGCTACTGAAAACGTCAGGTGCTGATGTTTTATTCTTTAGGAAAAAACTCAGAAAAACCTAATGGGGGCGGGGTGGCATCCACTACCCCTTCTTGTACGTCCGTGGGTTAACATCCCAAGACCATTATTCACGTGTGGATGAAAGGGGGTTTTGGAATTTCGGTGGCACTGTACCGTTGATCTAACAAGCGCATTTAAAACTTTGACTTAAACGAACGATAACTTCGGAGCAATATTGCAATATACACATTACCTTTCTTTCAAAAGTAGACTGAGTCCACTTCAGCACTTACTCGTAAAAAAATTCTTACCAGCAGTAAAATGAAAATATTTTGTATAGTTTCATTTTATTGCCAAATGATACCTGCAGGTCTTTCAAATTTTCATACCCATCGAAAAATCGAAAAAAATTTGTAGCTCATTCATTCATTATTATTCATTGTCATAGTTCATAATTGCGCCTGTAATGACAATGGAGCCACCTTGGGTCCCTTGGGCGTAACCCGTAAACAATGGTTTGATTTGAACGTGATTTGTGAACTTTTAAGTTGACTTCATTATCAGCGAATTTGGTAAGGCAAAAAGATCTGTTCAATAGCCTTCTTTTTTCAGGCAGACAAATGTTAGCGTGTATAAAGACTGCCTTAAGTCAATTAGGTGATAAGAAGTATATTGTCCTAGATTTCCAGGAAAACCAGTTACTTTTGGAGCGAAAAGAAGTTAGTTAAAACTTGAGTTCAATTGAATTCAGGCATTTTTCAGTTTTCAGAGAATTACCCAATTGTTAACGTATACGTAAGCGTGAAGAAATTTCTGAAATGATTCTAACGCGTAAGAAGTTTCCGCAATATTTTGACGTGAAACGTTCCGCAAATGGACATAGGGTACCCTTTAGCCTTAATAGAGGGTCTTTAATAGAATGACGGCAACTTGAATTATACCAAGTGACATATTTTCCTCACCATATTCTATTTATTTTGTCTTCAAATTATTTGGGATGGTTTTTATCTGCTCATTTCCCAATATGAAGAATTATCAGTTTGAATCTAAGTAGTTTGCTGTTTCAAAATGAACAAACGAGAGAAATTTTAATTCCATGCTCAACTTTTATTTTGTATGTGGATTACGTATGGTCACCTATTCTGCATGACAGAGATATCTGTACACTGAGCGAAGTTAGGATTAGTTAGTTTATTACAAGCAAAGACAGGTACAACAAAAAGGTTTTACACCTCCTGATTTTTTTTTTCTTTCTCGGTTCAAGTTTGTTGCACATTTGAAAATCAAATATTTACAGTGTAGCAGAAAATCGCCCGGTAGTTTAGTTCGATTGACAGGTTTTGTGGAAGTTATAAAACTACTGAAAACAACAAGAACCGGTGCTTTTTAAAGCATTTTACGTATTCTTTTTACACTCGGGCGTGATTTAGCTTTGTCTGCAGAGTTGCGTGACCAGACTCGAATCACACACGATACTTTCAACAACATACGGTTTATAAAGTCGCTCAGTTTTAAACGACCAAGTCAGGTGTAAACAATTTTTAAAAGTGTTTCAGTGAATTGCGGCTATTTGCAGTTGAAATGACTGAGGTAAGAAAATTCCTATAGATCTGGTGTCCCATTCAGAAATACCACGCCATTTTTAGCGGCTTTTACTTAAAAGTTAGAAACTCAGGGTCAATATTTACACTACCAGAAGTGCGTTGTCTTCTTGAATGTTGCACGCAATCACCCGATCAAATACAGTGTTAATCTACATAGCCCTTTATAACAAACTGAAAGCATATTTAAAAGGTTTTAAGAAGTTTTCGCATTGTGAACCTCTGTTAAAGAAGCTAAGTTTACAATAGCACTTGTCTACCCTCATTGCGGCTTGTTTGTGTCACCATTCCCACGTGCGAAAATATCCTCCACGTTTCGGTGTCTCGCTTTTGTAATGCCGCGAGAGATTTTTTAACACAAGAAACAGCAAACAATTTGCTTGATAACAGTGTTTATTTCATGTTGAAATTCTATGTACCAATTGGGTTTTTTCGATGGTGAAGTTAGCCCAAATTTGCCATTTTTGAAAGAGCCGAAACCGTGTTTCTTCTTGCGGCCGTCACAGTCACATTCAAACAGCTTATCTAAAGTTAATTGCTGAATTATAAAGCACAAGTCTATGTTTGTTTTGTGACTTGATTTCATTTAGAGATATTATCCCGTTTTTATGTACAAGCGCGAAGAAAATGCTCAATTTTCACTAATTTCATACTCGAAAGAGCGCCGATTTACCGTTTTTCAAACTTTGCCCGATTCCTGAAAAAATAAAAAGCCGTCACAAGTTTTAATGTGATTTTTGAAATAAGTGTACTATAGAGATTATTTGGGCAAAATATGAAGAAATTCAAAAATTCACGACTGTCAACCGATTCTCGAAAATTACAGACATTGGCTCTTAAACCGGAGAAAAAAATGGTTTCAAAAATATTCGGATACGTGTGGACGGAGCCTTTAAGTAATTTCATCTTTCTCTTGATAAAGATACAACAAAAGAATGCCCAGAATACAAGGACACTGATCTTGTGCCTCCACTGGAACACTGCATACGAACAAGGTGAGACCACGTGACAGAGTTCATTGTCAGAAAAGTGGACCTTTCGATTCAGGGTTTTGAATTTGGCCGCTTGGCACAAAAACGCCGTGCTTGGAGGCAAGAAACCTACTTGAACAAGAAGGAGAAAGTAAATTTCCAAATAAAATAATATAAGGTCTGTTTTTCTTGTCGTTCTGGTACGTTTCTTGCTCTCCATCAAATCGTTTTTGTACCCCGTCATTCATGAGTTTGAAAAGGCCCATAATGGGATCATTCTTTAACACAGAGGTGTTTTTCCAGGCTCATTTTCAACCGTCAGGCAATGTGTCTGGTCATTCAAATTAAACCTCGTCAGCCCTACACTGTACTTTCACATGTTTCCATATCTTGAGTGTAGTTCTAACTTTTAAGTCTGTGGATGAAATCCTCGCTATGGTGTTACCATTCAAATGAAACCTCTTTAGCAATACTTTCAGATGTTTCTTTTAATTTAGTATGCAGCTGTTACGTTTGAGTCTGTGGACGAAATACTACGACGTGATCATTCAAAAGAAACCTTTTAAGCAGTACTTTCAAGTCGTGATGGTATTGTTTTTGCGTGTGGTGCCTAGTTTGTCGGCAAATTTTTAAGGTGCTACTATCCAAAAACCTATTGCTTGCTCGTTAAAGTGGTTTTTGGAACCTTTTTGGTTATGAAAAGTTTAGTCGTTTTAGGATTTCTTCTACTGTCGCAGAAACAGGCGTGTTTGATGTATTTGTTGATGTGTCGGGCTGAATAAAAGCTAGAAATATTTTATGCACCAAGTCAAAAGATATTTTTTAACTGAGCGGATTCTCGCGCGCTGATTGGTTGAGAGCTTTGTTCGAACAGAGTGCAGACCATGGAAATAACGTCATGATGGCGCAATTCGTTTTTCTCTTTCTCTCTCGCGCGATTTTCCGAGAAACTTCAACGTGAATGGACGCCAAAAACTGGCAATGTTATTGTAAGAAACAAATCGACAACAATTTTCTACGGTCTGTACTCTTGTCGACAATAGAAATGACGTCAAAATGTTCAAAACTTTGCAATGAAACCGCGGCTCTTGGTTCCACTTGAGTTTTGAACATTGTGACGTCATTTCCATGGTAGATAAGTTTACAAACCATGGATTGTTAAAACCAGCTTGTAACATGACGCAGAATGTAATAATTGGCATACGATAATTCAGCGTCCTTGTCCTAAGATAGTGGTTAACTATTAAACCCTTGTGTACTTTTTTACTTATCGTACAGGTGGAAGAATGCTGTCATAGACTGGAATGGATCCGAACCTATCTTATGATGTTCGCCCCTTTTTGTAATCAGGTATCAAAGCCAGAGGACTAAAGAATCAAGACATAAAATCCTGTTGTTTACAGGACAGAGGACTCTATTCACTGGATAAATCTGCTTCTTTTTGTTTAGATGATATCGTGAACTTTCCTCATAGTGGCAATCGCGACTTTCAAGTGTTTAACTGGAAACTCTCCTCATAAATACACTTTTATAAAATGGAGACCTCTATATTACGGAAAAGCTTCATAGCACTTGAATACGGACCTAACGATCCGACAATGGCGACGTCCACGAAAAAGTCGTTAAAAAACAGACTTCGCAACCTTTCAAACTTTTTGGCGATTATCCCTAAGTTACGTAAAGAAGAAAATTTAAGTTGGAGCTGAAGATAAGAGACTGCGCCCGATATTAAGACGGAGATGTTAGAATTTATTGCCTTGTCCGCTTCCCGTTCTCAAGTGAACGTAAAATTTGACCTTGTCACGTCTGTAGTTGTGAAGGGACGGCAATGAAATTAACCAACAATCGTGATGCACGCGCAAAGTCGTGTGTGCTCATTAAAACTGATGCTTTTTTGACGTTCCCGTTAACGTTGCTGTCGTATTATCGTTAGGTCCCTAACGATACCGTCGAACCTCAATTAAGCGGCCATTCTCGGGGTACAGCATAATCTTTAGCAGCAACATCACTTTATTTTGAAACAAATCGTGACGGAGGAAGCATTTCTTGTCAACAATCGGTTGTAATCTTCTATCTTTGGACTGTATTTTCCTTCATCATGTTCTTGAAATAAAGCTAAATTAAGTGTATCAAGCGCTTGATGGCCGCTTAATGGAGGTGTTCGCGTTGGAATTTGTGAATATATTACTTCAGATGGTTGCTCAGGTGGTAAAAAATGCGTCTTCACTTTTATTCAGCGGTCATAGCGAACTCGAATACACTTTAATAACCCTACTTAAAGTACCTACCAACTCGAAACTGGACTATTGCTCAAAAGTGTTACGTTTTGAGCTTGGGTATTAGAAAAATCCCTTTTCAGTCAGGTATTAGTAAATCAGAAGGAAAATAGTGTCAAGTCGGTCCGCTTTATCGAGAAATTATAAGCGCACCTGTCGGTCGCGATGACCGTTGTGTTGTATCAAGTATAAACATATTCCCAAATGTTGCTTTCAAAATTAAATATTTATGAAGTCATATGGACAAATGGCTCTGGCTTTTTAGGCAGGGAATAAACGGCCTAATAATAAGGAGACCTAAGCGTGCGGGTAATTTTTTGCATAGTTCGTCAACATGCGAATCATATGCCATGATTTTGCTGAAAGTTTTACCTGAATTTCTGGTGAAGAGACTGGGCTCTGTGTTGACCGGGCTTCCTGCCGTTACGCTTCCCTGTAACAGGCCTCGTCATTTTTCAAGGTTTGTCGTTCAAATGGAACCTTGTGTGCGAGAAATAGAGGTCGGGGATTAATAAGTACGAAAATTAATGGATATCAAGAAATGTTTATTTCTATGAGCCCAACTTGAGGCGTGCGTTATATCTGGACTCCCCCAGGTATCTGTGCTAGACCCCCTTTGATTTACAGTAAGCATATGAGCAATCTTCCACTTCTACTGGCTTCTCCTGAGGGCAACGCACATAACAATGCGACACAGTTCACTGACGTTTAGCCTGCAGTTCGTTCTTAAGAACGTTGAAGATAAAATGTTTTTCAATGAAAGGAAAGAAATGGCTGGGTCGTGATGTCATCATGTAAAATGTCAAAGCTTCCATATAATCTCACTTACTGTATTACCATCAATGAATCTCAAATCAAAATGGAAAGTACCATCGGAAAAAATTACAGGGAGTTCATACTGGCGAAACGCTGCACTGGTTTATGCACTGTGTATCCTGCGACGTATTCGGCACAAGTGACAAATGAGGCCCACGTAGCCCTCTATAATTGCCGTATACTGTCACTAATGGATTACTGCTGAGTAGTGTAGGGAAATACCCCACAAGAAATAAAATCTTGATAGGTTTCATTGCCTTCAGAGAAAGAAACTGGACGAAAAAATGAATATGAATCAATTTTTTCGTGCTACATTAAAACTCGTTTCAAGTAATTTGTAGAATTTATTGGAATCCTGTCTGTATAAATTTTTATCCAACAAAAAGAATCTTAAAGGAACTTAGGTTCCCCCATGTTCTTTGCTGTGCGGAGTGTTTGCGGCTGAACATGAGAAAAGACTCATTTTTAACTTGTAACCAGTTTCCCCACGGTCGAGCCTGAGTGAGGCTGGCTCGAAAGCATCCCACTCACCTAAGAAGGCTTTGGGTCCGGATCATTAAGTATTTTAGGTAAAGTTTTTTTCAGTCTATGATTAATAAAAACCGCACCGGCGACATTGTACTATTTATAATGGTAAGAGAATTCACCGGTTCAAAAGCGTGCATGAAGATTCACCGAGGACCGAAATCCGCAAAAACTGTAATGCTTTCAGTAGTGATTGGCTTGTAAGCACCTAATCCATATTCATGTAAATTTCGAAGCCTGACACATGCAGAGCAAGATTTCAGATAAATTAAAACGTTGAAGTGTACGGATGAATTCCTCTCCTGACTTGCTGAAAAGTCCCGCCAGGAAAATTTTAGGTGACTAAATGAACAAAACAATCTTAAAAATATCAATGAAGGTAAGCTCAAAGGTTTTACCCAGTGTCTACTGTATCAACTTTTCCAGGAAACTAACTCACAAATAATTTTCCCTTTTATTCTGAAAGGGAAGAAGTCACACGAGACGAAAGCAAACGAGGGGAGAGACACGCAAATGGCCAAGCACGTGTCTGAAAGCGCTAGGGTAACCACTACCTGCCTTGCAAACGCATTAGGGCCATTTATACACGGAAAAATAAGATGCGTCTCACATAAGACGCGTCTTAAATAAGACGCGAACTGTACCATTTATACGAGCATGTCTTATCTAATAAGAAGCGTCTTAGCTAAGCCGCGTCTTATTTTAGGCGAAATGTGCCGTTTATACGGAAAGTTCGCGTCTTATTTAAGACGCGTCTTATTTTTCCTCATATAAATGGCCCTATTGTGTAAAAAAGACGAAATGTGCGAGTGTTAGGGTAACACTCCTAGCACCAGGGTTACCCTCCCTCCTTGTTAACGGGGCCTAAAGGCCATGTCCACACGAATCTTGACATTTTTGAAACCTCATTTTTTTTCTCCGGATTCGTGTGGACGGCGCCCAAAATAAACCACACTTAAGAGCGGTTTTTCAACCAGCGAATTCACTGTTTTCGACAAAGTAACAGAGTAACAAGCAATCAAGCAGAAGTGAAGTAAAGTTTGTTCAATATATGTCCCATACATGACGTACGTACCGTTTCGTATGGATGGAAGGCTGATTTCTGTAAATGGGGTTTCAAACATATAAGTAACAAAATCAAGAGTATAAAAGGCAAAAAAAGAAGATGGAGCATCGGAAAAAAAAACTGAGGATGAAACGGAAAACCAACTACACTGAAAAAAGGAAAAATAAACAGACAACAACAACAACAAAAAAATACAAAAACACGCACGCACGGAATGCAGAAAATAATGCTTATATTTTCAAAGGTTCAACCGATTTTCAAAGCTCATAGAAAAGTCAAGTCCTACATTTTTTCTTTAGTCCTTTTCTTTTCTCCAACAATGCATGCGTGCGTGCCGTCATACAAGAAATACATCAACATCATCCTTGTTGTTTCATAAAAGAAATATTATAAGCCGTCAACGGCAGAACTAAAACTCGATGGAATCACCCTGAAGCGGCCAAAAATGCTAAGAAAACACAATATTTTTAGACAAGGAGACAAGGTAAGGAATTCTGATGTATTTTTATTACTATTTTTGACCCTTAAATAACGATCGCTTAAATCTCCGTACAAACCCTCATAATATTTCTGTTATGCAACAACGATTCTCACTCGTGAGCTTGGGGTACCTGTGGTCATACTGTATGCAATTTTGGTGAGATTCCTACTGTTGTGTGATTTGCGAAGTCGCGCGCATGTATCAGGATTTGAGTACGGGCCATGATTAGCCTAAAAAACAGCCATTGTGGATTTGCTACTCAGGATGACAGTAAATTCAAAACGCACTTCCGGTAATTTGTTGTATTCGTTGGGGGCCCAGAACTGACAAGGATCTCGGCGATGCTTCGCATTTTAAGGTACGTCTAAATTGCGTCTTTTCTCGCGCGTCTCAGGACTGGTAAGTCTGTGCCCCCACTTAGCCTTTGAGAAAGCCTGTGGAGCAGGCAGAAGAAAATGCATTATGGCTAATTATAATTACAGTTTTACATTTTTTGTGTATTTCTGTTTTGGGTTGTTGATCCTCTTTGTCGATTTTATGATTTTGTTATATTTAATTCTGATCTGTCACAGTTACTGTTTTAGGCTTTTTGTGTCTTTCCCTTTTGGTTGATGTATTAATTCCGTTTCGGGAATTGTGTTCCTGTTTTCTGGTTGTGTATTTGTCTTGTTTTCGCTATTAGCTTACCGTTTTGGCTCGGTGTGTTTCCGTTTTGGGTTTGACGCTTTCTGTTTTTCTGTTTTGTTTCTATCGGCCACAGTATAAATTAAATCGTTATTCAGTGGCATCTAAACCGCAAACCACTGAAGACAACTTTACTAGACAGAGAATTTCCCGAGCAGATTTTACTGAAATCGTTTAACAGGTAGGAAAGATATTCGTTCAATTTGGAATTTTCCGAACCCGAGAAGAATTTTTTTTTTCGTACAATGTTTTTTTTGTCACGTTCCGCTGTACGTAGTTTCCTTAGTTTCCTATCTTCTCCGGCTTTTTATCCCTGGAAATAACTTTTTATTTAGCCTAGGTTGCGACAGCGAAACAAAGTATGTTTGTTCGATAATTTGTAGGGTGTCCCACACTCGGCGTTTAGCCCTGACAGGCGTTTCAAGTTAAGCTTTTAAAGTTTGTTTAAATCATCTTTCCTTGTTACTTCTTACACTGTA